TTTTTAATTAGTGGGGCACAGTGGTATACACTTGTAGTCCTAGCTCCTTGGGAAGCTAAGGCAGGAGGATTTGGTTGAGCCCAGGAGTTCAAGGCTGAAGTGAGCTATGATTATGCTACCATACTCCAGTCTGGGCAAAAGAGTAAGACTCTGTCTCAATTTAAAGTCCTCATGGAAGCACACTCAGCCCTCTCCCCAAGTGAAACTCTTCAGGGAACCCCTTGCCAGTAAAACAGCTCTTGCCACATGCTACCCCTGGCATTTGGATTTCTCAGCCTTATAACAATTCCTTTTCTTTTCTTTCTTTCTTTCTTTCTTTTTTTGAGACAGAGTCTCACTCTATTGCCTGGGCTAGAGTGCCATGGTGTCAGTCAAGCTCACAGCCAATTTCAAACTCCTGAGCTTAAGTGATCCTCCTTCCTCAGCCTCCAAAGTATCTAGGTTGGACTACAGGCACACACCATCACACCCAACTAGTGCTTCTATTTTTATTAGAGACAGGGTCCAGGGTCTCACTCTTGCTCAGGCTGGCCTCAAATCCTACCCTCAAGCAATCCTCCTACTTTGGCCTCCCAGAGTTCTAGGATTATAGGTGTGAGCCTCTGTGCCCAGCCTCCCATAACTTGGTTTTTCAGCAAGCCTTAGGGGACCAAGAGCCTTGCTCCCTAGAGTTATGATTACAACTGCGAAAATAAATTAACAGAAAGAAAACTTCTAGGGCCTGGAACAGGGAGCCAGCACAGTCAGGTCTCCAGGGAGAGGTCTCTTTCTGGCTTATGGGCGGCAGCCTTCTTGTGCCCTCCACAGAACCTGTGGACATAAAGAAAAAATGTCTTTGCTAATGTATTTAAGCCTGTCAGGATGAGATCACCTCAGATGAGGGGGCCCTCAATTTAGTAAGTGTCCTTAGAAGAGAAAGGGGAAGGGTACACAGAGAAGAGAACTTTGGGATGAGAGTGAGGGATCCAGAAGCTGAGGACCTCCAGGAGCCACCAGCAGCTGGACAGAGGGACAAAGGGATTTTCCCTCAGGACGTCAGAGGAACCAGCTCTACCAACGCTTTGATTTCAGACTTTCGGCCTATAGCACTGGGAGAGAATACGTGTTTGTTGGATTAAGCCAGATGGTTTTAGGTAATTTGTTCTGGGAGCCGAGAAAACTCACACACCCCTACTAACACTGCGTTAAACTGTGAAACACCAAGAGACGTGCTGAACTATGGAGGACACGGACGGCAGGTCTACATCAGGACTTTTCTCTCTTTCTTCCTTTTTTTTTTTTTTTTTTTTAGAGACAAGAGTCTCACTTTGTTGCCCTCGATAGAGTGCTGGGGCATCACAGCTAACAGCAACCTCCAACTCCTGGACTTAGGTGACTCTCTTGCCTCAGCCTCCCAAGTAGCTGGGGCTACAGGCGCCCGCCACAATGCTTGGCTATTTTTTATTGCAGTTTGGCCGGGGCTGGGATTGAACCCGCCACCCTCGGTATATGGGGCCGGCGCCCTGCTCACTGAGGCACAGGCGCCACCCTAGACCAGGACTTTTCCAGAAAACTGTTTTAACCTCAAATTCACCACGTTCAACTGAACCTTATCCTCCTAGATTAAATTTACAAATGTCTTCCTCCTTACTTAAAAGTCTTATGTTACTACTTACTCAGGTCAAAATGTTGAAATTGTCTATACTGTTTTCTTTTAACCTTACATTGAAACTATTGGTAAATTTTATCAGCTCTACTTTTGAAATATACATAAATTCTACCAATTCTCCTGGCCTGCACTATTGTTCACCCGGTTTCCAACTTAACCTTTCTTTAAACAAAGTAGCCAAAAAGACCTTTTTAAAATCCAAGTCACATCATGTAACTTCCAAACCAAAGCTCTCCGGTTCCCACGCACTCAGACTTGAATTGTATCCCATAAAAAGATGTGCTGAAGTTCCAATACCCAGCACCTCAGACAGTGACTTTATTTGAAAATAGCATCATTGCAGATGTAGTTAGTTGAGATGAGGTCATACTTGATCCAACAGGACTTGTGTCCTTATAAGGAAAGTGAGACATCCAGGGAGACGGCATGTGAGGACAGAGGCAGAGGCTGGGAGCTGCAGCTCAAGGAAGGCCAAGGGGAGGGGTCAGCGCCAGAAGCCAGGAGGGCAAGGAAGGAATCTTTCCCTAGAGCAGTGTTTTTCAACCTTTTTATCTCAAAGCATACTAGAACCTACAATTAAACTTCCATGGCACACTTAAATCATGTTGATCAAAAAATAAATAATAAAAAAAAGAATATGTGCATTGTGTTTTGAACTTCTTTTGAAAAATAATGGAAACTCTTAAAAATTAGAAAGTTTAGAATTAAAAAATACAGTAGAATCTCTGTAAATTGACCACCTAAGGGACAATAACAACCTGGTCAACATAAAGAACTAGGCACACTGTACTAATACATACATGTGGTGCAGGTCTGGTTTATGAAAGTTAGGTCAAGGTAGAGAGGTGGTCAACTATGGAGGTTCTACTGTGTTAGCTGGGCATGGTGGTATGTACCTGTAATGCCAGCTACTTGAGAGGCTGAGGCAGGAGGATCACTGGAGTCCAAGAGAGAGAGACCAGTCTGGGCAACTTAGTGAGACCTTATTTCCTTATTTAAAAAAAATTTTGGG